TACACAGGGTAGTACCGGGTATCTTATACAAAATACAGGATATTATACAGAGAAGTACCGGGTATCACATACTTAAGAAGCCATAAGTTAGTTTTTAAATAGTTATAAAATGAATGAGAAAGCCTTATCTGTAATATTTTAACTGAAACCCGGCTAGCATGATGATAAGAGTACCAGGTATCATATATCCATACAAATAACCCCCTCTCTAAAGCTCCCAAAAGAAGTGTCATAAGAGTATTAAGCCACTGAGATACCCCGAAAATTCCACTACAAAGGCCATGACAAATGCTTCCAACATTTATTCCGATTCCAATAAAATCAGCATCGCGATCGAATCGCGTTGAAAATCAAAGTGTTTGTCATGCTTTTTTGTTGCTTTTTTGTTGCTTTTTTGTTGCTTTTCGGTGTGTGGCTCGAAGCGTTTTTTAAGCATAAATATATGCAGGTCGCGTAAGGCAATGGCAAATTAAGGAATTTGCATAATTATGCATCAATTTTGGAGATTTTTTTTTTTTTTCGTTTCTTTGGCTTGTTTGATTGCTGCTTTTATGCTTTGTTTACTAATTAATTGGCTCGACTTGATCACAGTTTGGCAAGTACTTTGATTATAAGTTTGAAATTAATTCGAGACGCACTGACTCAACAATTAGGGATCTCGCCATCAATTAATACAAATTGAAATGATGTGAAATAACCAATAAAATTTTGCTTTTCTGCCTGCCTCCTTTTAATTTATTTTAATTCCAGAGAACGCCTCCCCAACAACCACTTGGGTCGTCATGCTCCAAATGATGAAGCTGATGATGATGATGATGATGCAACTTCAGGGGCCCAGATGCCACATGGATCAGAAGGCATTTTTTAATTTCCCGAAAAAATAAAAATCGACAAAAAGTGAGGACCCGCTGATGTCATCTGATATAAAGTTTAATAATTTCAAAAGCCCATCCCATTGATATTTCATTAACGATTAGAGACCGAAAGAATCTTTATTACAAAATCACTGATTGGTGATCTGTAATTGAAAGTCAATTCCAACAATCGTAGACCAGTTTATAGTCTAATTTCTATTCGTTGTATGATCTCCTTAATAGTTTCTTTGAATAACGAATGAGAAGACCAATCCCCAAAAAAATCCCTCTAGAATACTAAACTCATTCGCTTTATTAGAAAATTTGAAATGCAATTTTTTCGAAAACAAAACTACTTTATGGCGTCATTTAAGTTGAAAATGTTGCTGCCGTTTTAAGTTCTTTTGTTTGCTAGTTGGGATGATGACACAAGATATATATATTAAATATAGTTCTATGTATATATAGACTACACCCACACTGGGTCATTTAGTCAGTGAAGTCCCCCCTTCTACTGCATTTTGCAATAATTCAGTAGGAAAAAAAAATTGCGACAGTTTAGGAATTTTAAGAAATAATTTTAATGGGTGGTTGGGTGGCTATTTTCAACATTTACGCAATGCAATAGCCAAACAATAATTGTTCATATGCCAGCTCACTCTCTATACATATATCTAAGGTCTGTATGTATGTATATATACTCTGATATATAGTCATTTCACAGACGCGACATGCAAATATTAAATTACAAAAAAAAAAAAAAGACACAAGGGGCTGTCGAAGTGAGAAATGAAAAGTGAGGCTGAGAAATTGGTTTACACTACATTTGCTTTTGGCCAGCTGGCACTACAACAACAATATCTTTCATAAAAAAAAACTTCATTTAGGAATTATTTTACATTGTTTAGTCTATGAGGCAAAAATATGGAAATGGATCATCGGGATATATTGCCAAGAATTCCACCTGTCTTGAAACCAAATCATCATCATCGAGAGTGGAATGAACCCTACTGAAGACTGAATGAAAACCGAGAGCTAACAGGAAGGGGGGTGTGCCATTCAAAAGGGTTTCCATTTTCATATTTTCTTAATCATCGAACTAGAAGTCTCACAAAGTTGCACATTTCATCAGCTTTTCTTCAGCAAACTAGCTATTGGAGAGGGTTCTTCAAAAGGTTTTTAATTACGGGATTATACTTTTTTTAAGAGCTACTAGATAGCTATAATTAAAAATGATTAAGGCTCTATAAAGATTCTATAGATAGACTCTCTTTACCCTGAAGATCATAATTTGAGGAATATTCAAAAAAAAAAGAAGAGAAAAGATGTAATTTCTTGAGGGTTTGGAACCTTACTCTTCTGGGCTTACTATTACTTTAGTATTAAAGGCTATTACTATGCGAAAAATTAACAAAAGATTCTTAAATTAAATAAATATTGAAAAATATGAATAATATAAACCCTATGGATAGTTTCGAACTCCAACAGGCTTATCATTGTTACCATAACGTTGTTATAATTTAAAAACAACACAAGAAAAAATGGAAAATTTATATGTTCGGGGGGGTTTCTAGCCTTTTCTATCAAGACTTAAACGTATTTACGTATTTAAATTAGCATTTAATTATTTTAGTATTATTCCTACAAGAAAAATGTATTGAAAAATCGATATTTTTGAAATTTACGATTAATTTGAAAAAATAAATAAATAAAACTCCTCTAGAGGGTTTCGAACCACAACCTAACATACTAACTACTATACTTTATTGCTACTTTAGTTACTATAAAGGTACTAGAATTAAAATTATAAAAAAAATCGTTTTAAAAAAAAGTTATAAAGAAAAATAATAATTTCTTGATGGATAATTTCGAACCTTAACCCTTTAGAGTTTAGACTTGATGCTATCTAAGTATTACAAACCCCTAGTCTATGAATAATAAACAAAATACAAAATATTCTGCTTCTTTAGACCATTATTCTAGCCAATCTTTAAGACTTTATACATATATAAGCTAATACAACCCCTTTTTTTAGAGTATCGAACCCTACCCTAATACCAGACTTTCCTCTGCCATCTCTCTTAAACTTCAAATGGGATTTTGTTTTTGTGTTTTTTGGTGTCTCTGGTAATCTTGTGGCCGTCTATTTATAAATGTTTGCTTCATCTCCGACGAATTCCCGATACCGATATAACCAAACTGCATGGCGAGACTACGTCACTATTTGGACGCGGGCCAGGGTGGAATGGAAGCCGGATCGCCACCGAATAGCCCGGGGTCAGATGCACCCATCGCCCCATCGACTAATGACTAATGACTCGAATGGAGGTGGAGGTGGAGGCCAGCCCGGAAGTGATGGGGCGCAGGCCCTATAGGCCAGGCCAATTGACAAAACCAGGCACTTGAGTTGGACACCTCCACACCTCCATCCAGAGAGTTTTAAGTGTGCCAGTTTTGGCTCCCCGTCCACCTGCTCCTCCAACCCTCCTCTGTCTGAACTTGAGCTCAAGTGGGTGATTTTTTTTTCAGAGAGGAGTGGGGGGGGGGGGCGGTTGGACCTCAGCCTCAGTGAAAAATATTTAAACAAATGCTCGCATGACTCTTCCACAGAAAAAATTGCATGTGATCGCGTCTCTCACTTGTTTTGAGAAATGCGAATGTATAAGATACACAAATACAGATACAGATACAGATACATATCCCCCAGATACTGGCCCCTACCCCCATCACATGTGTGATCCGAGGGTCCAACATCTTGTGTCCATATGTTGCACAAACAAACAAAAAATCGAGAAACAGCGAGAAAAAAACAAGAAGAACGAAGACCACGAAGACATCGTTACTCGTCCAAAGGGAATGTGCCAACAAACGCATCTTCTACACAACAACAACAACAATAATAACAACAAAAAAATCCCCAATTTTTTTTTTTTTTTGAAAAACAACAAAAGCTGCGAAATGATTTTTCTTTTTTTGGGGAGACTGGGGACTGGGGACTGGGTGTTGATGATGCAAATATTTTGACAGTTTGTTTGACAGGCAAGTGGCAGGGCCAGCAGCCAGCAGCCATCAGCCAATCTCAGCGAGATGTAACCCATATGATCTCCTACTCCCTCCTCTTAAGACATATTATAACATCTGGATATGGGGATGTGTAATATTTAAGTTGTTTACAAAAAAACGTAATATTCATACTCATAAGTTATCTACCCTGTCAGTTATAAGTGTATATCCTTCTTGAAAGTATTTTCTTTTTTCAATATATATACGATATAGTGTAGAACCGATAAGAACCTCGGTGGATACTGGCCAGTTGATATATACGGCGACACAATTCAAATTTGGCCTCATTTACGCAACTTCCGATGTGATAATAAATGAACCAGATCCAGCAATAAACAAGAGAGACCTCCAGAACCAGATCCCTCTAGTGTCTAAAAAAACATGTGCTTTTTAAAAAATTGTTTAATTTAAGAAATTATTTCATTATTTTGAAAGACAAACGAACTGACCAGAACAGGGCATCTGTCTGTGTCATTAACACTCTGATAAGAGATCCTATTATCGGCATGGAAATAGAACATCGAATTTGGAAACAATAATGTCTTTCAGTGTTTCAGTACACATAATTGGCAAAAAAAAAATATATAATAATAAAAAAATATAATAAAAAATAAATCAAATTCAAATCACAATCAACATTCATTCTATAAAGTATTTTTTTTTTTTGGAAAGAAAGGAAATTAATTCAACGACTCTGGGTGTTGATGATAACCCCATAGGATGACCTGCAGCTGGCCGAGATTTGATGGCTCGATGGTGGCCTCTTGTCGCCACCAAATCCGGTCTTTGTAACCAAAGACCCAATTACTTCCCAACGAAATTTGATTTTTTTTAATAGCATTTCTATAGAAATACACATTTTTATGTTAATTCAGAGGAGGAGGAGTTGGGGTTGGGGCTTGGGGGCTTGGAATATGTGTGTCATGTTAAAATAGTTCAAGTTCGTCTAGTTTGGAGTCTCCCAAATGGAAATTAATGACTGATTAATGGACTTATAGGCGGGACACGACTCAAGATGAATGATTTGGTGACTAAAAGATTTTTAAATATATTTAAGAGGTCCCCCCCTTATCTCTAACTCACCTTGGCATTGGTCAGCGGGACATGGCAAAAGTTCAGGACTAGGGCCACGGCCAGGACTCGCAAGAGTAGCGATCCTGTATGATTCCTACGGCCAGAGGAGTTCGAGGACGCGATCGCGAATGCCGGCGGCGTTTGGGATCCCGGCGATCCCATTTTCCTTCCAAACGGGATGCAGAAGGGGGTGATATAAAGGGGGAAGGGTATTTGGTTTTTTATGGTCTTTTTTTTTATTTTATTTTTTTTTTTTGGTTTATTCGGTATTTGGTTACTTTTGGCAGCTATTTAGGTTTAGGTACTTAGGTGAAGGCAGTTTTCGGTTCGTATTTGAGTTGGAGGGGGGGTTTTTTTGTTGAACGGCTGGCAGGTTGTGGTTACGGTTATGGCACTGCACAGAGAGAAAAATTCAAGCAAGTTGTAAAATAATTATTCTAAAAATTAGTTATACAAATCCCTCAAGGATCTTAGAATCTATAGAACACTTTATAGGCAACAAATATGGTCCACTCTAAGGTCCTAGAACTTTTTCTCTGTGCAGGAACCAAAAAAAAAACAAGAGAGAAGAGAGGAAATAAAAAAAAAAAAAAAATTTAAGGAGAAACACAAAAAACGAGAAGTTTTATTTTCCGAAAAGTCAGCGAAAAATGTTTCCTGAAATGGAAATGAAGTTGCAGATCTAACGGTTCTTCTTCTAGTACTTCTCGCTAATGTGTCACCCTGTCCTTTCCAATATCCTTCATATTTCATATTTCTTCTTCTTCTTCTTCTCATCCCTTCCAGGCATCACACGCGCGCGCTTTTTTTCAAAAAAATCACATATTCCAAAGATCGCACAGAAAGCAAAAAAAAAACAAAAAACAAAAATAAGGATGAAAAGTAGCGGTTTTTTATGTATTATTTTAGATCCGATTAAAACTTTGAGATTATCCTTGAGAAAGGAGTTTCCAGCACTTGGTGTGAGTGAGAGAGCACTTTAAAAAAAAATATACGAGCGATTGTATAGAGTCTGGTTGTGGAGAGTTAGTGAGTCGAGTCGGTGGGTCGATTGGCCAGGAGAACGTACCGTGGACTGTGCGACCGCCTCGAACGATGGCGCGCAACCGAATAAAAAACCGTCCAAGAACCGTGCTGCGGTGCCGCCTGGGCTCTGTCGCTGCCGCTGCCCAGCACACGAGGCAGCTAGCTCTGTCGACCACACGAGGCAACACGAAACGAGCCCGAAAAGCACAAAACTTTTGCGTGCTCGCGTTGTTATTGTTGTTATTGCTGTTGCCGACCTAACGGCGCTTAAGTGGCTCGCCGCCACTGCAGCCGCCGCCGTCAGCTCAAGCCTCTTGCGTCGATGCAGCGCTCCCCTTTCTCTCTCTCTTTTATACTCTCTCTCCTGTGGCTCCCACTCCCACTCCCACAGGGTGCGTAGGTGTTGACTTACGCAAAGTAAAACGCGCCTGCTCTCTCTCGCTTGTTCTCTCTCTATCTTTGGGAGAAGGATGCACCAGCTTCGGCTCCCCCTCTGTAGGTCAAATGTTGAGTGCCTTTTTCCAGCCCAATGCTATTGTTGTTGTTGTTTTTGTTTTTGTTTTATAGCCGGTTTAACAGTACACAACTCTCCACTCACTCTCCCTGGAGCCATTAACCGTTTTTCGTTTTATTTCGCACTTTTTCTGGAAAGTATTTTTGCATTTCAGACACTCAGAAAAAGGATTCAAAAAAAAGGATAATTGAAATATTATAAAAAAAAACATTATTGTATTAATTAATTAATAATTTAAAATATTCAAGAATTTTATGTAAAACTTTTTAAAATTAATTCAAAACTATATTTTTCCAACTCTATTAATAAAATCCGCTTGGCATACCAAAAATCTACCCTCGAACTCCCTAAGCTCCCAAGATCGGTCGGAATAATATTAAATCTCCCAAAGGAGAATCTCCCAAAAAAAAAATCCCAAAGAATGTGCAGCTGTGGCTGGCTTTTCACTTTCCTCGCCGATCCAAAACCCAGAATGTTTGTGTTTTTCTTGGTATTTCTCGGTATGCCGAAACTTTATGCTCCACCATGACCGCGTATCGTGGGGTTGTGGGGGGTTGTGGGCGGCGGCCGGACAGGTGTAAAGTGCAACAAGGCGGCCCCAGGTGAAGAAGCATGCCGGCGATGCAAAAGCATGCTTTTTGGCAAATATGCGATTGCTTCGGTTTGTTTAAGGTTTTCATTTGATTTCTTACGTCTTGCAATTACAAATAAACACTAAATTTTTCGAATTTTTGGTTTAATTTTTTATTTATTTAACATACTTTAGGTAGTTTTCTTAAGATTTTAATGATTGTTTAAAAAAAAAAATTAAGTATACGCACTGTATGCTTTTTTCTACTTGAATTTTTAATGGTTTTTGGTCTTAAAAAATTGGATAGAGGCTTTAATTTAAGTTTTTTTAATGGTTTTCTTAATTATTATGGTAAAAAATAATATTTACTACATGGCGTATACGTAATATTTTTAATAAAAGCATTAAAAACTAAAACATTTTACTTAAATACTTAAAAAATCGATATAAATAGCTAATTATAATAAATTTGAATATCAATCACCTTGGACCCTTGCCTATTACCTATGACCTTCAGAGACCCCCGCCCTTAGCTCCGCTTTCCCCTGGCCCTGCTGGTGGCAAGCAGGCTTCCCATTGGCGCCTGACCCAATGACATCCAAGTACGACGCATGCGTTGGCCTGGAATTCCGGACTTGGAGGCCGACGCCCCATCTCCCGGGTACGGGTCGGGGGCCAGCTGTCGACCAATGGACACGTTGCGATTTTTTGTCGACCATCCCGCCCCAGCTGCCGTCCGGTCGGTCCCCCCCACCCCACCTTCGATGTGTGAGCTGCACTGATAGCCCCCCTTTACCCTTCCGATGGGGCGCCTTTGCAAAGTGCCACAGCTTCCGTTCACTGATAAGACTCGGAGATGCTAAAAATAAAAAAAAAATCTCACACTTTAACAAAAACTCACTTAATTAGAGTCTATTAAGAAACGGAACATACATATGTCAAGGAAATGGGCAGTGTCTAAGACAGAGAGAGAAAATTATAGGTATTTTTCTTGATATTCTAACTTTAAAACTTATTTGAAAAATACGAAAATAATTTTTTTCAGTACATAATTTAAAAACCTTATTTAAGAAATGCGCCGAAGCTCATAAACAAATTTTTTTGGAGGGTCAAAGGTGACACAAACCTTATCAAGCTCTGCCAAGCTACGAAATTGGAACAAATTCGAAAATAATTCTCAATCCAAAGACAATTTCAACCAAAAGACACTCTAATGAAAAAAAAGGTTATCTATCGGTTATCTACGACGAGAAAAACCCCAACAACATCAAGAAATTCTATTTTTTGAATGATCCAAACTCACCACAATCGTGTGGCGAGCATGTATGGTGAATATGGAAAGCTGCTCTAAAAGTTTGAGAGTCACTTGACCCAAGGCAGCACCTGGAAGCTTTCAGCCAAGTCAACAAAAGCTGCTAGCAAAAGCTAAGCAGAAAGTCCAGGCTAGAACTTCAGATATTTAATATCCATGTCTATATGGCATATATATGTTTAGGTGAGCAACTTAATTGCAAGCCACGTAACACGATTAGGCTAATGGTATAATGGTGAAAGCAGAACCTGGCCAAAAGCTGATTAATTTTTATGTAATCAGGTACAGATGGAATCCGATTACAGATAATCATAGAAGAATTATTATTTCTTATTTTATTGTTTAGTTTTCTTTAAAAAAAAACTGTTAAATTATCCCTAAGCATCCTCGTAATAAAATAAAAAAAAGTCATTTGTCGTTATCCTTTCTAACTGCTGTTTTCCCGCCCCTTCCGCCATTTTGCGACGCCATTTATCTTGTTCTGTTTCCGGTACTAAATGTTTACCGTTACACACACGAACCCCCCCATCCCCCATCCAGTCACGTGTTTTACATTGGCAACTTGTTGGTTTCCATAAAAAAAATAAAAAAAATAAAATCCATTCTGGTACGTGAGGTTTTCCGTAAATATTCATATATATATGTATATGTATTTATATTTATACACACACACACACTTACATATGCTTTGCTGGGCGCCATTTTCGTAATTGAAAACTAATTGTTGTTGTGAATTATTTAGAATGGCATTGTTGTACTCGTTGGCTTCGTTCTATTTTTATTTCACGACGACACAGCCTTGACAAGCAGGTCAACAATTATTTTCGTATCAATTGAATTGACAAATTAGCAACCATACCATACCTGGAGAGAATACCAGGTACTCCCCAGCAATTAGCATTAAATCGGAGAATCCTTTGACTTTGATGACCCACCCACCCATCCATCGTATAGAGTCGTTATAGGAATAATTAATTCGAATAATTAGTGGTTGTGGGGATATATAATACTTTTGCAGGAATTTCTGAAAGGTGAATAAATAATTATATCCTTGAAAGGGGGGGTTCTAAGAACGTAATTTGAGGTAATCGTCCGGGAGTTGGTTTATAGGCTTGCTAATCTCTTAGTTTTTAAACTATCATCTCTAGACTTATCTTTCTATCAGGCTTTATATAGTATCATCTATATAACTATTATACTTATTATATATATCTATAGTTGCCCCCTTTTATTTGAACAAAATCCTTGAAATTCGGTTACGTGGAAACCCTTGAAAGAGTTTGGCTTTCGCCCCCTCGGTCTTGGGGAAAAGCCGAACAAGTGGCAGGTAACAAGTTGCCATAAGTTGCAAGTTGCAAATGGTAGCTTGCATAAGACATCTGGATTGAAGCCATCACCATATCACCTTCGACAGAATCAAAGAAAACCCAACAAATAAATTCAAAAAGTTTCTTAAATCGTTCTTCAGATTCTATTTTATGTTCAACAATTGTCGTCATAAGATGGTTGAGGAATGGCAAACAGACTTTATTCTAAAGGACTAAGGTCTAAAGACTGTTTTTTTTTTTTTTTTGGAAAAAATGTTTGCTAATTGTTTGACTGAGATTTGGCTTTTAGCTTAATTAAGAACCTGGAGCTACCTGATGGCTTTTCATTGCTTGTGGCAGCGGTTGTCCCCGTTGTCATCAATACCGACTCGAAATTTAATTTCCTTTAATTTCGTTTCCAAATTAATTAAATTGACCTCCTTGGTGGTGGAGTTTTTGTAGAGAGAGAGAGTGTTAAGCCGCTAAAAGGTCAACATTTAAGATTGAATGGAAGGTTAAGGTGTATTTGGCTAAAATTTTAGGGGAATAGGAAATTTTTTCGGGTGAAAGATTAAGTAATTAAGTTCAAGGAAGATAGCTGGTGGACTGGAAATGGTATATTTCTTAAGAATTTTATAGACCCAATTTCAAGTCTTTTTAAGGTCTTAACTTTTGATAATCCTATATCTAAAAATAAACTACTTATAGTAGAGGCTTAAAAGCTATTTAAAACTTCAAAAGAAGGTAGAATATTTTATCAATAACTCACATCAAAGGCAAATATAGATATATTTTATCTTTGATCTTCATTTCTTGATTTGTTTATTTAAATAATTTTAAATTGCTGCTTAAGTATGTTTTTAATTGAATTCAATTAATTATTTATAGAAATCTGCTAAAATTCATAAAGAAATACAATCATAAAGACCAGTCTAACAAAAGAAGGCCGTTGCCCGGCTTAATCATGAATAATTCTTTTCGTTTCATTATTATTTATTTTTTTTTTTCGTGTTGCATATTTGTTTTTTGACTTTTGTTCTCTGCTCCCTACTCCCCCCCCTAAATAGAAATCTCCCCATTTTTCGCTAAACTCTATTGTTTATGTTTATTTGCTGCTCAGTAATTAAAAGGCAATCAAAAGGCAAATAGACTCTCGGACTATTCGGCACCTGGGCCAGGCCATGCCATCCCACACCCACAGCCCCCCTCTGGATATTGGCCCTGTTGCTGGCTGGGACTTGTCAACCGCTGGCTTTTTGGGGCCATAAGTGAAATCCTACCGGCAGCGGATTAAACAAAAAAAAAAACATTTTTTTCTCGCTGCCAGCTAATAAATGCTCGGGAAAATCTAAACAAAAGCTGAACAAGCAGCAACAGGGCAATAAAAAATTGATTTTCCCGCCCACCGAGGTCCCGGGGTCCTCTTTCGGGCTTTTTTGTTTAAACAA